TGGATGCTATTAGGGCTCTGTCCTTCCCTCTCTTGGGCTCTTCTCCAAGGTGGTTGCCTTCTCAGCTTATGGCGGCCCCAGCAGCTAAACACTCATGTCCCACTGGTTCACCCACCCAAGGAGAAGCAGAGTGCCACTGACCTACTGGCAGCAAAGTCCCAGGGCTGACTCCCATGTGGCCAGCTTGGGTCATGACCTGTACCCGGAAGCAATCACAGTGGCCAAGCCGATGGAGTGCTCTCATTGGCCAGATTAGGCTCACATGCCCAATCATGGAAGTGGGAGTTGTGTGGGGTCAGCTACTCCAGAGTCCGAAGACCTGAGGGTGGGGAGACAGGATGCCCTCCATCCCCTGTACATTGAGCCACCATTATTATCAGGAAAAGAAGATTGGATGGAGGGCAGGCACAGATATCAACCCCACTTGGAGATATTCCAAGCCCATGCAGGTTGGGTCCTGAGGGTTAAGGGGGTGCCAGGAGAGGGGAAAAAAAGCTCAGCTCTGTAGGTCTGTAGTAGTAAGTAAGAGTCCAGACTAAGTGTTACTTCCATCTATTCTGCTGCTGGCTGCTGTCCCCTCTTAGGACAAGAAGGGAGCATCTCCCAATCTCCAGGGCGTGATGTTGGAGGTAGACCCTGGGTGAGATGCCTGGGAAGTGGGTCTGGGGGTGTGGGGTACAGGGTTTACGGTGGCAGTGCACCACGCACATAACACTGCATTTCCCTTCACAGAGCCCCTCCTCCTGCATCCAGGCACTTGCTGATCTTCCTCCTCCTCCTCCTCTTCCTTCTCCTGGTGGGTGCCACATTGCTCCTGCCACCATCAGGGGGGTCCTGCTGCTCTTCTGCCCGACTGGCCGGGACACCTTACCTGGTGCTCAGCTATGTCAATGGTCCTCCTCCAATCTGAGTACGTAGCCCAGATGCATGTAATAAACACTTACTGTCAAAGATGTGTCTTAGTCCGCGTGGTCTGCTGTTAACAAAATCACAGGCTGGATGGCTTATAAACAATGGAAGCTTGTTTCTCACCATTCTGGAGGCTGGGAAGTCCAAGATCAAGGTGCCAGCAGATTGGGTATCTGCTGAGGGCTGCTACTTGCTTTACAGATGGTTACCTTCTCGCTGTCTCCTCACATGGCAGAAGGGGCAGGGAGCTCTCTTTCCTAAGGGCTCTAAAAGACCCTTCCATGAGGACTCCACCATCATGACCTAATCCCTTCCTGAAGGCCTCACCTCCTAATACTATCACATTGGAGGTTAGGATCTCAGCATATGAATTTTGAGGGGACACAGACATTCAGACCATACCAGAATGTGCGAGGATACTGAGTGTGTGAGTTCAGAATTTGGGATACAGCTCTGATGTCTGGACGGCCCACTCAGCAGATTCCTTTGCTTTGAGTGTACAACACAGAATGAATCACCCTATCTTAATGGGGATCCCCTAGCCCCTGAGACAAAGATTCAAGCACAAGTAGTTTATTGGAGGGGTGACCCCCCCTAGGCAGATTGATAGGGGAGTAGGGGAGTGAGCCAGGAAAGGCTGGTTGCTGGGCATCTGGGGCTCCGTCCCACTAGGGGCCCCTTGGAAAGTCTGGAACACAATCAGAGTAGTCCCACCCAAAGGGTGAAGAAGTTGTGGCATTTATGTGCCAGCTTCCGTGTCTCATCGGTTAGGGACTGTTCTGGAGATGCGAACTTCCCAGCACATCCCACCTCTCCTGCCTGTTAAGGCTCCCCAAGCAAAGAGGCACAGGTGTCTGCCCCTGGAAGCTGTATGTACGGGAAGGATGCAGGTGACGTGGGCCAGCTGCTGACACCTGCTACAGCCCCTGTCTGGTATTCATACAGGTACTTAAGTACGCTACATGGCAGGCTCCCAGGCTGGGCCCTCCCCGGTGTAGGCCCATAACATTCCCCTTCCCCGGGGTCTTGATGACACCAAGCTGAATTGCCAGGGCTCAGTCCTGACGTCCGGTCCTCAGCCTCAGGTATCTAAGCTCATCCCCTCCTCCGAGTTTATGCAGTCAGGACAAGAGAAACAGAACTAGACTCAAGAACAGAGGCAGGAACCCTGTGCCAGGCACCTGGATGTGCACTAAACACACCTTCCTCTGTAATGCTCACGACCACCCAATGGTGTGTCCCCACTTAATGGAACAGGAAACTGAGGCTCTCAGGGGGAATAGAGGCAGTCAAAAAACATTTATAAAATTTTTCACAATTCCTTAGTCCCTAATTACATTGTTTCCCCTAATCACATTTTTAAAGATTATTTACTTAAGTTATCTCTATACCCAACATGGGGCTTGAACTCAGGACCCAAGATAAAAGAGTCACCTGCTCTTTTAGCTGAGCTAGCCAGATGGCCCCTAATCACATTTTAAATACTCAAATCTCAGGTCACTCTCTGTTATACTGGACAGTGCAGCCCTGGCAGAAGAGTGTTCCAGGTAGAGGGAGAAAGTGCAAAGGCCCTGAGGTAGAAGTGTGCCAGGCAAGGGGGAAGGCCAGTGTGGCTGGACCATGAGTGGTAGGGGGTAGCATGGAAGGAGATGAGGTGAGAGGTGATGGGGCCAGATCAGGTGAGGCCTTGTGGACCACAGTGAGGACTTCTGAGCTGAGTTAGGCTGGGGACCAACAGAGTTTGTTTTGTTTTGCCAGCTTCAATTCAGAAACTTTTTGAACTACCAAAGAAGAAGGGACAGCATTACAAGTCTTCATGGACTCATCGTGAGCTCCAGTCATTATCAACTCAGAGCTAATCCTCTTTAATTCTCCCAGGCACCTACTCCCCTCTCCCTAGATTACTTTGAAGCCAATCCTAGATCCTTTTACTCGTGAGCAATTCGTGGAACATCTCCGGATCAGGATTGTTTTGAAATCGAATCACAATACTTTCATGATGTCAAGAAAATCCTAGTCATTCCCCCACATCATTCATACCCAGGACGGTCCAGTGCTGTCTGAGGGAGGGAGCTGAGCCAGAGTGGTGATAACATCGAGCACCTAGCTGGCTCAGTAGAGCATATGACTCTTGATCTTGGGGTTGTAAGTTTGAGCCTCATGCTGGGTGTAGACATTACTTAAAATAAAATCTTAAAAAAAAAAAAAAAGTGGTGTAACTTGCTGGTGTGGCTAGTGGCTCCTCCTCAGGTACTGTGATTTTCCCAGATGTCCCCAAGGCTCCACTGGCTCACCTCATGCACATATATGGTCACCGGCTTGGCCCCTTGGGACAGCTGCTTAGGGCAGGAAGCTGGGCGTCTCCTGGGAACCCACTTCTTCAGCCCCAAGTGGACCAAGTAGGCAAGAGGTCACGAAGCTGGGACATCACCTGCTGCCACAGCACGTTTAATTCACTGTATCCTAACAGCCACGTGAGGGAGGCCCTATTACGATGCCCAATTTCACAGATAAGGATACTGAGGAACAAACAGGTTAGTTAAATCACAGGCCCAGGATCATAAAATCAGTGAATGCTGGGATTGGGATCCAAACCCAGGAATTGCAGTACCAGGGTTCCTGCTCTTAAACACCAATGACCTACAACCTCCTCCCTCCAATCAGGCACTCCCTTCCCTCATTCTCTCTACCACAGAAACTCTATTCATCTATAGCACCTGGGTAGAATGTCTCCCCTCCTGACTCAGGTCACCCAGCCCCAGTGGGGTTCACTGCCTACAGCCCTACCAGAAACTCCCATCCTGGAGCTTTTTAGGACTCAAATCCTTGGAGCCAGGAGGAAGCAAGAGGGAGAGGGGAGTGCTGTGGGGCTGGATAGGTAGGACTCCATTAGCCACTTTCAAGGCTTGGGCTTTTACTGAGATGGAATCAGGCCAGGATTAATAAGAACACCCAGATGGAAAAACAAAAACAAAAAACTGAGGCTGGAGAGAGATGAGCAAGCCAAGATAGCTGAGGCAGAAGCCATGTGTGCAAACCACACAGATTCCAAGCCCCAGCTGGAATCCTGCATTTCTGCCCTTTGTCCCCTCCAGAACTTTGTCCACACCGGTCCTCCCACTTAGAAGCCCAACCCAGCACCTGGGAAACTCCTTATAACTCCTCAAATTTCAACTCCACTTTATAACTCTTTGTGCACCTGTGACGCCCATGGGGATTAGAGCAGTCATGTTTCTCCTATATCCTCTCTTTAGTCGGAAGTCTGGGTTTCTTTCCTAAGGGTCTCCTCCTCTTCCCAACTGCATTTGCTAAGAATTCATCTGCTTTCCACTCTTTCCATTTATGTAACTGACATGGATGTGAACAGAGTTCAGTGCTGCAAAGTGCAGTACCCCAGAGAATGTCTAGGCAAGATTAATACAGGGATATGGAGGAAGTATGCCTGGGGTTTATGGGTCCATGTCCCCTGCCCATCTCCCCCCCCCCCCCCGCCCGCCACTGCCCCAGGGCCTTGTAGCTGAGGCTGGACTCTTTAGCCACGTTTGAGGTCCCTAGTACTGCCTCAGGGGTTACCAGCCAGGCCTCCCCAACGCCACCATTTTCTCTCCTACCTCGTTACCTTCTATGAAGGAGTCAACTGGGGTTTCTTTGGGGTCAAATCAGGGTGGGTCTCAAGGAGCTGCCCAGGAGCAAGAACTAGATTGCTTTCAACCAATCTGCTAGTCTAGAGGGCTCCAGAGAGGAAGAGACATCTCTCCACATCTATTCCTCCCAGAGGGTCACTTCTTGGTAAGGGCCCTTTCAAAAATCTCCAAACATGTGAAATCTTTGAGACCACCAACAAGAAAGTAATCACAGCCCCGATTTTATTCTTTTTTTTTTTTTTTTTCCAACAGTCCTGAGAGAAGGGCACAGGAGTCAGGGTTCCCCTTTAGAATCACCAAGTATAGGTCTTGAGGGGTCTTTAGTTGATCAGATGGGGGTAAGATACCCCAGCCCCTTCCTCCCAGGTCCCAGTCTGCCGCAATTAATGGGAAGAAAGTTTTCCAAAGGGGGATTCGGGGCTTCTCACCATCCATCAGGTGAGGGTGTCTTCCCAAACTTCTCAGCAAAAGGTATGCTCTTCTCAGAGTTACATAAAAGAGAGGGGAGCCTGGGGTCAAGAGAAGGGTGTCTCTTCTTTCTGTCCGACGACGGGCGTCCTGGCTCCCCAAGCGGTCAGGTAAGTAGCTTTCAGCTTGTCACAGTTCAGCCAGCCGGCAACCAAGCCGCCCCAAACCTAATGAGGAAGTTCGACCCGTTATCATGGATCGGGCAAGGTCGGGAATCTGTCAGCATCCATCATGGGGGTTTCTAGGACCCCACGTCGCTAGGAGGGCTCTCCGACACCCCCAATCCACCCAGCTGGTCTTCTCAAGACATCTCACCCTCCGTCAGATGGGCTCCCCCGTTCCCCCACGCAGTCAGGCGGGTCCTCGGTTCCCCTGTGCTACCGGGTGAGCTCCTCGGCCTGTCACCGCCCATCGAGAGGGTTCTCTGGTGACCCCGTGCTGTTGAGGGGGTTCCTCGGACCACCAGCATTGTCAGGCTGGGTCCCTGGGGCCCCCGCGCCGCTGGCCTCCTCGGTTGGACCCCGCAGGCGCACGAAGGCACCCATGGCCGTGGCGTGGCCGGAGCGTAATAGCTGCAGCTGGCGCCGCCCGCGGCGGTACAGGTACTCGATACGCAGCACGTCGGAGCGCGGCAAGCAAGCGTGCTGCCGGAACTCTGCCCGCACTCGCGCCTCGGCGCCCGGCTTCCCGCGCCCGGCGCGCAGCAGCTCGCGGTACAAGCTCAAAACTTGCCTCTGCAGCCGGCTGGGGCGGCTCATGGCAGCAGCTGGACTGAGGGCGCACGCAGGTAACGTCGCACAAACAGCCGCGCAGCGGTACCTTTCAGAAAAGTGGCTGTGCCGGGCAACGGGAATTTCCGGCCCGCGCACTCCAAAACTTCCGCCTCCTGCTTTGCTCTCCCATTGGCTGTCGATGTAGTTACGCCATAATGTTGCTGCTCAGGGGCGGAGTTGCTGGTTCATAGGCCTGCCCCGCAAGGAATCTGTGTCCTTGAGAGGACTGCGGGTTTGGGAACACGAACGTAGGGGTTGTCAGGGGCGCCAACTAAGATTTTGAGTCCGGAGGAGACAGGATCCCGACCTTACTCTTGGGGTCCTGGGAGACGGGGAAACTAGAGGTTGGAATCTTTGTACCCCCCCAAGGCGCGGGGGCACTGGGAAGAAGATATAGGCACAAGCAGATTTGGTCATGTTATTTATTAAAACAATCTCGGGGAGGTCCGTGGGTTCCCATCCCAAGGGCAGGTGTGTGTCAGGAGGTCCCAGCCACGGGGACACACAGAGGGACGGCGTCAGGCGAAGTGTTGTGTCACGGCTGGAGTAACAAGCTTCTCCGTGCTGTGGGATGACACAGACTGGTGTGGGCTCCCAGTGCCCAAAGGCTGCCTAGGGCGCAGGGAGTTGCGCTAATCGCGCCCTCTGCCGATGTGAGTCAAGTACCAGGGCAGGAGAAGGGCAAGTCCTCACCAGTTGTTGAAGCCCCGAGCCCGGCACGCCTGGAACACGTCGGTTAGGCTGGCACCCCGGAGTCCTCCGGGGAGTATCAGGTCGTCGGCTGCAATTCCGTTGTAGTCCCCGCAGGCTGCTCGGAGGCGTCCTTGGAGCGCGGGGGAGGCCCGTAGGGCCACGGCCCCTTCCGGCCCCACCAGCACCCGCAGCGTGGGGGACCTCTCGATGACAACCTGGGAGCCCTCCGCCCAGCGTGCGACCACGCCCCTGCACACCTGGGCTGGGAGCCGCGCAGGTTGTCCGTTCACCTGTAGATTGGGGAGGCGGGTCAGGGGCGGCGATTAGGGTTTGAATTCCAAGGTGCGGCTCAGAAACCACCGTGAATCCCGCCGCGTTTCTCTATCAGAAATGCATATCCAGGTTTTCGCTAGAGGAATAAGGTCTGGGATTTCCTTTAAAAACCCTCCAGCACGAACAGGGACGCCTGGGTGGCTCAGTTGGTTAAGCAGCTGCCTTCGGCTCAGGTCATGATCCCAGCGTCCTGGGATCGAGTCCCACATCGGGCTCCTTGCTCTGCAGGGAGCCTGCTTCTCCCTCTGCCTCTGCCTGACATTCTGTCTGCCTGTGCTCGCTCTCTCTCCCATAAATAAATAAAATCTTAAAAAAAAAACACAAAAAAAACCTAACTTAAAAAAAAAAAAAACCCTCCAGCACGAACAAAGCAAAAAGAGTGGGAGGAAAAGAGGAAAGCAAGAACGGCAAAATATTTGTAACTGTAACAGTTTTATAACACCACTCTCTCTTCTCCTGTGATGCTTGAGATTTTCCATAATAAACTCTTTCCTAAAACGGAGTTTTAGAGAACAAAAAGCCTTAGGAAGCTGTCGCATCTCTCTCACCTGTGTCTTCATAACCTAGTAACTGTTTACGCATACTCTGTGCCAGGCATTATTTCAAGTGCTCTAATGTTTATTTAATAAGATAATGTAAGACAGTACATTGCAGTATTATGATACAATTGATATTTAAACATATTGTCACCTAATTTATATTTTATGTAATTAATGATATTGAAGTATTTATTTATTCATTTTTTAAAGATTTTATTTATTTGACAGAGAGAGAGAGGAAGAGAGCCCCACGTGAGCCAAGGGAGGGGAACAGGGAGAAGCAGGCTCCCCGCTGAGCAAGAAGCCTGATGTATGAGACTCAATCCCAGGACCCTGGGATCATGACCTAAGCTGAAGGCACCGGCTTAACTGACGGAGCCACCCAGGCATCCCTAAAGTATTTATTTTTTGAAGGATTTTATTTATTTGAGAGAGAGAAAGCCCGAGAGACAGGAGAGGGTCAGAGGGAGAAGCAGACCAACCCCCACCAAGCGGGGAGCCGGATAGGGGAGTCCTGGGATCATGACCTGAGCTGATCGCAGATACCCAACCCAAGGAGCCACCCAGGCACCCAATATTAAAGCATTTAACTGATCTTAAATCCTCACTAACACCCTGATAAGGTAGATCAGTACTGTATGCCTATATGCCTCTTGCCTTTTACTGATTATAAACCTGAGGCCCAGAGAATTAACACAGCTTGCCCAGGCTCACATAGCTGGTAAGTGGCAGAGCAGTTTTGAACCAAAAGGGTCTGATTTCATGACCTGTGTTCTTTTTTTTTTTTTTTAAGAATTTATTTATTTGACTGAGAGACAGAGCAAGAGTGGGAACACAAGCAGGGGAAGTAGGAGAGGGAGAGGCAGGCTTCCCAACTGAGCCCCCCAGGCGCCCCTCATAAACTGTGTTCTTAACCATCCAGCAATATGTACCGTCTCTCCATTAATAATATAAAAGTGGTTGCAAGAGCAATCACAGTTTTTAAAAAAAGTTTTTTTTAAGTTTATTTGCTTTTTTTTTTTTAAAGATTTTATTTATTTGAGAGAGAGAGTGCAACCACAAGCAGAGGGAGGGGTAGACGGAGAGGGAAAAGCAGGGAGCCTGACTTGGGTCTCGATCCCAGGTCCCTGAGATCATGACCTGAGCCAAAAGCAGCTGCTTAACCAACTGAGTCACCCAGGTGCCCCTAAGTTTATTTACTTTTAAGTAATCTCTACACCCAAAGTAGGGCTTGAACTCATGACCCCAAGATCAAGAGTTTCAAGCTCTTCTGACTGAGCCAGCCAGATGCCCCAAAGAACAGTCACAGCTTCTACTTACCGAACCCTTAGTATATGCCACGTACTTTGCAGGAATCCTCACGGCTACGCTATGTGGTAAGTACTGTTTTTTTGTGGTTGAGCAAACTGAGGTATCGAGAGGTTGAGCCACTCACTCGTCCATAGTTACATTAGAAGGTTAGGAGACACACAATCAGGGTCTCGATCCTTTAACTAAAGGCTCTGGCTTAGCTTACCTTAGCTTACCTGCCAGCTTGTGGCAGATATCCCAGCTGTTCTCTTGCTGGACCGTCTTCCCATTTACAACTAGCCTCCACCACACAGCTGTGTTCTGCTTCTCAGCATGGGGTTTCAGGTTCCTTTTCCTCTTATAAGTACTAACCATTTTGCCTGCCCACTTCCAATTCTACTGCTCCCTTGCTTCTGTGTTCCTTAGGAGAGCCAGCTGTCCTCCTCCCTGGGATCTCTCTCTGCTGGATTTCCAACCTCTCCTTGTCTGGCTTCTTCCCATCAGCACTTAAACATCCCTGAGTTTCTCCCATAACAAAATCCTAGCAGTAAATCAGTTCTAAGGTACCCTTGCCCTCTGCCTCTTCCTGGCTTAGCTCTATTCTCATCTGTTTGACAAGGGGAGTTTGCAACTTGTCAGGAGAGGTATCTGTTCCTGCTTTTCCTCAAACCTGCAATCCAGGAGCTACCCCCCTGCTGTGATTTCTTTCTTTTTTTTTAAGATTTTATTTATTCATGAGAGACAGATGCAGAGGTGGAGGGAGGAGCGGGCTCCCTGCAGAGCAGGGAGCCCGATGTGGGACTCGATCCTAGGACCTCAGGATCATGACCTGAGTCATCCAGACATCCCTCTGCCACAATTTCTTAAGTCGCTAATGACCTCCTTGGTCCTAAGTCCATGGATATTTAGTGGGCTATTTTAAAATCAATAGTTGATTTTTACCACTACTCCCCAAATATGGTCCCTCCTTTTCCCTGGCCTTGTTCTGTAATACTTCTCCCTGCTCTCACCCCCAGCCTAATATCAGGTCTCAGCTCATTTGTCACTTTCCTTCACTGGTCTCCTAAACTGAGGGTGCCTCCTCTGAGCTTCCACCTCTTCCCTGTGGTTTCCCCATCCCAGCCCTGATCATTCTGCCTGGGCTTCCCCCATTAGAGCTCTGATCTCTCAGTCAGTGGTTGCCAGGAGTTCAGCAGGACTTGAGTTAAGGGGGAGTCAGTGGGTCCTGAGAACTCCAAGGTGATGTTTATGTGGGATCTAGAGGGTCAAGGGGGAGTCAGTGGGTCCTGAGAAGTCCAAGGTGAAGTTTATGTGGGCTCTAGAGGGTCATGGGAGATCAGGACAAAGACAGTTAGCCAATGGAGGTCAACGTGAGATCAGGGTGATGGGACAGTTCTATGTCAAAAGGCTATGGAAGGCCACCGAAGGATCAAAAGGCCCCAGGGATCAGTGCCAGGTTACAAAAGAGTCTTGGCTAGAATTGAGGAAGTCCCTTACCCATATTTCTTGATTGGTTCCCACAGCTGCACAGCCATCCCTGAAGCCGATGATCACTCGTGGTTTTCGAGTAGTGCAGCCAGGACAGGGCAGGAAGTCAGCAATGACATGGAACCAGTCAGGATCCTCAGTTCTGGAACCCACCACTGTGGCTAGCTCATAGGCGCAGGATGTAACAGGCATGGGTGTGAGCCCACTAAAGCCATCAAAGGTGGTGAAGTGGCCCCCTGGCTCGAGGTGGCATGTAGCACCCTCCCCAGTTTCACAGGACCGCACACCCCTATCCAGGATGCAGCCTGTGCCCTGTGGGCAGGAAAAGGGCTGGCACTGGAGGCGTTGACCACGCAAGCACATACAGCGTTCCTGGCAGCCAGGTAGGACCAGAGCTTCCCCAACCTGCAGAGACAGACAGACTCAAAATCGGATTCAAAAAACCATTGGGAATATAAAAAAATAAAGCATATGTATAAAACATACATCATGAAGGACTAAGTTCCCTCACATATAAAGAGTTCCTAGAAATAAAAAAAAAGACCAGTAAGTCAATCTAAAAACATGGGCAGAGGCTATTCAGAAAGTGAATAGAAAAGGAAACATAAATGTTTCTTAGGCATTTGAAAAGATGCTCAACCTCCTAGTAAGACAAATACAAACTAAAAAATCCATTGAGATATTTTTTCTCTATGAGATGGGCAAAAATAAAAAAGTTTGATGAGTTTCTTCAAACTGTCTCTCTAAATGTCTATTAATGACATTTTTTGAATTGGGATCTAATCAAGCCTTGTGTACTGCATTTGACCATGGTGGTTTTTAAGTCTCTTTTAATCTAGGACGACCCGCCCGCTTTTCATTGGTGTGTGAAAAGCCTTAAGAGCTCCCTGCAAATGCTGATGTGTGGCTAGTGTCAGTGCCAGTGTGGAGTGGAAACACAACGGCAGATCTATCAGCCCTTATGCCTTGTTCCTCTTGGTGTGGGCATCTCTTCATTTCCAGGGTGGTCTGGGGTTTAAACCTTCATGTTTTTTCCAATCCAGTAACCACTAATCTCCAGACAACTATGTCAGCCATCCTGGGGGTCCTTTCTTCTGAATTGACTCTTAAGAGCTGCAAAACCTTGAAGGGAATGCTTTGCTTGCTGGGGGTCCATCCATGGTCTTCTGGTAACAGCCTTCCACTTTCTTTGGGGAACTAGCCCCACTTTCAGTCTTGGGGGTTTCCTAGATGATATACCTATGCTCTGGCTTCAGCTCTGGGCACATGTCCCAGGCCTGGCCAGTCAGAGACAGATCAGAGTACCCCATCTCTCTACTTCTGTGATCGGCTTAGGAATAGGCAAATGACCTACCCTGGGACAACAGGAGTCAGTACTGGGACTTCTGCTGTAACTACTGAAAGAGAAGCCTGTCTTTCCACTGAGATGGCTAAATGTACATCATAAACTTGGAGCAGGAGGAGACCACCATACCCTACATTCAGAAGTGGTTGGAGAATGAGGCTATGCATGTCCTCAAATATCCATTCTCCATTTCTTCCCCCGAATTAATATTTATAGCTAGACTCCACCAGAAAGACATCTTCTGGCCTCCTCTGCAGCCAGATGGGGCCCTTCTGTGAAGTTCTGGCCAATGGGATGTGAACAGAAGTGGTATGTCCTACTTCTGGGTTATGCCCTTAAAGAGAGGAGGCCTGACCTTCCTTCCCCTCTTTTTCCTTGGCCAACTTGCATGACTGTAGATGTGGTTGGGAGCAAATGATCGCAATACTACAGAAGAGGCAGAACCACATGATAGAAGGAGCCTGAGTCTCTGACTTGGAGGAACCAAACTGGTTATTCTTGGACTATACATGAGAGAGAAACAAGCTTCTACTGAGTTTAAGCCACTGCAATTTTGAGCCTCTGTTATAGCATTTGGACCTAGAGCCTACTTCATATGGAAGCCAATATGGAGGAAAGAAAAGGCAGGGATGGAAGACAGAAAGAAACTTGAGTCCTAGTGACGTCATCTGAGCCCCTGAATCCAGCCATGCCTGAAGGCCTCAAATTTAAACAATTAAAGGTAGATATATCCTTGTATTTAAGATATTTGGCCTCATTTTCTAGCAATTACAACTGCAAATGCTGACTGATATAGCGTGGTCCAAGGAACATTTTATGATGAGGTATGGGAAACTCTGCATCCACCCGCCCATGCCTGGTGACCTCTCTTACAGGGATGTAGCGTCCACTGTGAAAACAGCCGCAGTGGTCCTGAGACACACAATCTGTGCCATCAAAAATGAGTCCAGGGTCACACTCGCAGCCCTCGTAACATTGGGTAGAACAGTGCGCAGGGCTGGTAGGCTCGACACAGCCCCCAACACAGGTCCGTGCGCAGATGCTGTAGTGGCTTCGGGGTGGACAAGCCATGGCTGCAGGCAGATGGCAAAGGCCCATGCTTAGGATTCAAGTTTCCCTTTCCAATCCTGTTGCCTCTTCCTGTTGCTAGCTTCCCACTGATATTTTCTAACCTTCACACCTTTGCAATTTCAGTTCTCTTTCCCTCAGATGCCCTTCCCACCACATTCTACTTATTCTATGTCCTGGCTTCTCTGATCCCCATCAGAAGGGGCTCCTCCTGCTGCCTGCAACCTGCCCCAGATGCATTCCAGACCCACCCAGAGCACTCACGGCAAAGCTTGGGGCCCCTCCAGAGTATCACAGGGATGCCAGCTTCCTGACAGGCTGCAGTATAGGCTGTGAGGGCATCACAGAGACCGAGGTGCTGGCCTTGAGTATGACATATGTCTTGCAGACAAATCCTGAGGAAAGGCTTGGGGCTGATATGGTCCAGGCAGCGGCCAAAGGGACCATCGGGTGCCTGTAGAAGTCTACATAGTTCAGGAGCATTGACGATCTGGGCACGTTGAGTGGGGCAGCTGATGCTAAAGTCAAGATTGGGCTGGGGCAGCGGGCAGGGGTTAGTGACCAGGCCCTTGGGCCAGAACCTTTTGTCTAGAGGTAGGTCAAGGGGGCCAACTTTGCCACCAAAGGCCCCACAGATCCCCACCAGCTGGCCATGGAAGGTGGAAGGTACAGTCAGGCGCATCTGGCTGTCCCAGTCATACATGAGATGTAGCCCACAGGCCGTGTATACCACTACATGGCGGCCCTCCAAAGTGGCCCAGGCCCTGCCCTCTGCCAATACCCAGGGCAGCCGGCAATGCTCACCATCCACCTGTGGAGGAAAGGGGTCAGGATCAGGGCTGAGAAGGCTGAACCTGTTCCCATGCCACTTCCCTGACCTTTGCACTTTGCATTCCCTCTGCCTGGTTTGCTCCTTCCCAGATGTCCACATGGACCCCCTCCGCTCCCTTACTTCTTTCAGATTTTGACTCAAATGTTACTTTCTCAGAGGGGTCTTCCCCATCACCTTATTTAAATGTTAAACCTCTTTACTCTGTTCTTTTTTTTTTTTTTTTAAGATTTTATTTATTTATTTGTCAGAGCACAGGCAGACAGAGTGGCAGGCAGAGAGGCAGAGGGAGAAGCAGGCTTCCCGCTGAGCAGGGAGCCCGATGTGGGTACTCGATCCCAGGACACTGGGATCATGACCTGAGCTGAAGGCAGCCGCTTAACCAACTGAACCACCCAGGCGTCCCTACTCTGTTCTTGTACTCGCTCTCTCTCCCTTCTTTTATTCATCTTTGTAGTTCTTATACCCATGATTGGATGTACTACTTATTTATTTACTTATGTGTTTCCCTAGAGGATGTGAGCTCTCCCAGGACTTGCTGCCCATCAAATCCTCCAGGGCTTTCCTGGACCACAGAGAGACTCTTCAGTTTACTGAAATAATCCTTAAGGACTGATTTTCTCCAGTCCTGGGTAAGAAGTGGCAATGCATATCTGACAGCTATGCTTTCCTGAGCCATTACTCCGTTCCAGGCAATGCTCCTACCTTGTCACATACTTGCACCATCTCATAAGCCTTGAGGGACACGCCCATTTTACTTATGGTGGGGGAAAGTGAGGCACTTCCAGGAGGGAGAGGGCGGGGCGTGGGCACAGTCGAGCGGACACATACCGTGATGACGCCGACAAGGGAGCGGTGTAGCTGCAGGTGGTGCCCGGAGATGTTGAGGTGCAGGCTGAGCAGCCCGGCCCCATCGCGGGCCGCGTCCAGGCTGAAGCGACAGGGCCCCTGGCTTCCGCTGCGGGCCAGCAGGTGGCGGCAGGGCCCAGAAGGGAAGGGCGCGGGCGGGGGCAGCGTGAGCACGTGGCCATCGAAGGCGAGCACGTGCGCGGGCCCGGCGAGGGCGCAGCTGCCTCGTCCTTCCGGCAAGCACTGGCGCTCGCCTCCGCGCAGGCCGCACACTCGCCCGCGCCGGCACGGCCGCGGCCCGCACGTCACCGCGCCGCCCGGGCCGCAATGGCAGCGACGTGCGCAGCTGGGCCCGGGGTACCACGCGGCGCCCAGAGCTCGGTAGCGGCCAGCGCGGAGGCAGCCGCACTTGGCCGCAGGCACGCAGGCGGCGCCGCTCAGCACGAAGCCCGCGTCGCACACGCAGCCCTCACAGCAGCTGGCGCCGCGACCGGAGCAGCTCTCTGGGCCAGCGCACGTGGCGGGGCAGCACGGGCCGCACAGCTCGTAGTGCGAGTGCGGCGGACAGCGCAAGGCTGGGGAGGGCCGCGGGGTGGGGTGTGGTTGTGGGCCCCCAGAGAGGGGAAAGAGATGGAGAGACGCGGGGAAGAAATAGCGAGGGTGGGAGAAACGGGTAAGACGGGAGGGAGGAACAGACGGGAAGACGGAGACGGAGGGTGGGGGGCCGGGGCGGCGGGGGGGTCGTGGAGAGCAACACGGCGGGGAGAGAGAACGAGGAACAGAGAATAGGAAGGCGAGGTAGAGACAGGGAGGCACAGAGAAGCACCGGGGAGACAGAGAGACAGTGAGAATGAGACAGGCACAAAAGACAGGAAGAAAGAGCTCGTTAATAAACTGCTGTCCCTCTAAGGGGAGATCTAACTCCTCTCCAAGTCCCACCCTTCTGCACCTGGCTCCACCCACCCAGACTTGAACTTCTCCATTGGTCCTTCCGCGTTCTTCCCCTGGTATCCCAAAGGCCAGTTCCTCCGAGATTCACCCACTATCTCTGCCAAGCCCTGCGCACTCACGACAGAAGTCAGGCGTCCTCCAGGGCCGCAGGCGCACGCCCAGAGCCTGACAGGCGACAGTGTAGGCCGTCAGGGCTCGGCAGACGATGTGATGAGCGCCGTAGTGGCGACACACGTCGTCCAGGCAGTTGTCCATGAACGGGAGCGGGTCCAGCACGGCGTAGCATGACCTGAAGGGACCCTCGGCTGCCGTCAGCAGCCCACAGTAGGCGTCTCCAGCGAATCCAGTGCGCTTGGCTTCTGGGCAGGGGCCGGGACAGAGGGGCCCGCAGAATGGGCCACAACCAGACACTTCTGCCACCTTCCAGGTGTCAGGCACCTCCATGGTGGGGCTGCTCGGACTGTGTTGGCCACACAGCCCACACAGGTAGGGTCCATAGCGCCTCGGCAGCATTACACGTGCCAGGCTGTCCCAATCGTAAGTCAGGGAGAGGCCGAAGTCCGTGTCTACGCAGAGCTGGTGGCCTTGGTAGTAGGCACGGAGGCAGTGGCCGTGAAAGAAGGGCAGTGATTCCAGAATTCCATCCACCTACAGGGAGCGCATGCAGGTGGCAAGAACAGCGGGGGAGGGATATAGTGGCTGTCAGTAGAAATTCTTGGGAATGTCGATAAAGGATCAGAGAAAGATCAAGGGGAAACATTGGTTAACAGGGATAGTCATTAGGAATCATAGGGAGATTCAGTGGACCATCAGTGAAAGCTAAATGGAGGGTCAGTAAAGGATTCCATGTGTGTATGTGTGTGGTGGGGGGAGGGTCAATTATGGAATGATTAATTAAAAGTTAATGAGGGATCCATGGGAGATCAACAAAGGGTAAAAAGAATAATTAGAAAGTCAGTAGGGAGGAGTCAGTAAGGGATCAACAGGAGGATAAGAAAAGGGATAATGAAGGAAGTGGATAGACAAATACAAAGGGTACTGAGGATCAAGAGAATGCTTATGTGGCTTTGGGTGGCAATGGGGAGACTCAGTCAGTGGGTAAAAGGGGGTGGAGTCAATGAATTTTAATGGGACAGTCTAAGGAAGACTCAAACGGTGAGACTAAGAATCAAAGACAGGTACAATGGGGGGGGGCACCTGGGTGGCTCAGTGGTTAAGCCTCTGCCTTCAGCTCTGGTCATGATCTGGGGGTCCTGGGATTAAGCCCGGCATCGGGCTCTCTGCTCACCCTCTTGCTTTCTGCCTACTTGTGAGCTCTGTCATATAAAATAAATAAAATCTTTAAAAAAACCCACAAAGACAGGAGTACATACCTATGGGGTGTGGGGTGAGGTTAAGAGGATAGTAAATGGGGTTAATGTGCAAGTCAATGTAACAGTAGGAGGATCATTTCGGGAGGGGTAGTGAAGGGTTTGTGGGATATTAGATGGGGGAGAAAAGGAAGGTCAATGGGAAGATCAAGGCTGTCTTAGGTTAAAGGGGAGTCAACTGAGGACTCAGTGGAGGGTTAATGGGAAGGTAATAGAAGACTCAAGGGTAATAGGAATCTCAAATAGAGGGTCTGTGGGAAGGGGTCAACAGGCAAGTCAATGGACCACGAGGAAATTGGAGGACATCTTTGAGGACCCATGAGAGTCAATGAAGAGGGTTCACGGTGGGTTATCTGTGGGTAGTAAGGATGGTGAAGGATAGTAGGTTGATCTGGAGCCTTTGAAAACTCACCCGGATGTGGTTGAGATCTTTTGGACTCATGTCCAGCCTCAGGCCACAGGCTGAGAGGGTCAGGGCCTTGGTCCAGCCACGTGGCCGCAGCAATGGGGTCAAATCCAGACTGAAGGGCTCAAGGTTGGCATGGGCTGTGCCACAGATACCCGCCAGGCGGTAGACACAAGAGCCAGGGAATTCATAGTGGGTTCCTCCAAATGTGTGGAAGTGGAAGTCTCCAGTGGCAGCACAGACCAGTGACTTCTCCATGACAGTGGGACTGGGTGGGGACGGCACTAACAGGCAGTGGTACCAGCCACCTATGGAGGCCTTACAGTGACCATTGCACTTGTCAGGCCAACACTGGGGAAGCTTGCTCACCAGGGTCCCAGTGGTCGGGCAGTGACATTGCTGAGTACAGTTTTCTGTCCAGAAAGTCTGGCCTTGGTGCAGGAAGCAGGGGCAGTGGGCACGGGGCACGCATCGGTCCCCTAGCAGCAAGTAGCCAGGGAGGCACTGGCAGGTTGGAGCACAGGGGTATTGGCAGTGCTCTGGGGCTACAGGGTTGGCACATGTGGCTGGGCATGCAGAGCCACATGGAACAAAGTGGGAGCTTTCTGGGCACTGGGGACTGGGGCTCGGGAGCTGGGATGGGGAAGGTGGGGGAACCAGTGGTGGGGCCACAGAGCTCGGGGCAGGGCCCAAGGTGTCTGTGGGGGAGAGAGAAGATCAGGCACTTATGAGTCCCAGGGGTCTGGGTCACCAGTCCCGTCCTTCCCAGGACTTAGGGGTCATGCCCCAATCTCTGACCCCTCAGACCACAGCCCCAGGCACCTTGCAAACGGCAACTTAGGACTCCATCTGTGATGCCACAGACCTCCTGCATAGGGCAGCTGAAGCTGACACAGGCCACACCCTCCCCTAGCTGGCAGGTACAGGAGGAGGAGCAGTTCTTGATGAGGACAATCTGGTCGGGCTGTGGAGAAAGGGAGGAAAGCTGAAAAGGGAGGTAGCTTGAAAGGAAGGTGCACCCAGAGGTTCTGAGATGAAACCCACACAAGGAGGTGTGCGGAGATCCGAGGCAAAGTGGGAGGACCCAAGAGGATGCTCACAGGGAAGTACTGGCCATTGTGGAAGCAAGGACAGTGGTCCACAGGGACGCAGTCACGCCCGGCCGGGAAGAATCCATTTTCACACTCGCAGCCCTCAGCACAGGGAGTGGGGAGCCGCACCACTTCCTGAACACCTGGACAGGCCGCAGGGCAGGGGTTCACACACAGACTGTAGTGGCTGTGGCGGGGGCACTGCATGGCTGTGGAGAGGGGGCTTGTCAGACTCTGGCAAGCCAGGGGCCTGCCTTCTGCTGGCCCAGCACCCTCAGATCGTAGACCTCCCCCTCAGATTAATGGTGACAACGATAACAACCAGCAGGGACTGAGCAGTGTCCGCATATGCTACACAATGCACTAATGCACTAGCTGCTTGAATGTATCCCAGATACGGCTAAAGGGACTTCCCTGCTCTTTTGTCTTTTATGGGGTTTTCCCTCCCAATCCCATGTCTGACCATGACAGACAGAGATGGAGGCGACCATCCATCTGTAAGTAAAGAGCACCCCAGATTCCAAGAGCAACCCAGATTCCCTCCAGGAACTTTTGAACCTAGAGACAGAAGGAGGTCAGAAGGAGATAGACGCTGACACCACAGTAAGTCAAGGTGAGGCCGAGAGTCCATGAGGATCAAGGAGAATACATGTGGACAGAGAAGTTGGAAGTTGATGAGAGTTTGTTAAATGAATAAAATATCCAGATGCCAGCTAATAAGTCATTTTCTAGGTGTGTGACTCTGGGCAAATTCCTTATCTATCTATGCCTTGGTTTCCCTCATCCATGAAGTGTACTTGCCTGATGGGGCTCTTGGGAGAATTGGCACAGTAAGGTCAGCTGTTCTTTTCATGTTATTATTTGAACTATTTTTACATTATTGTGAGAGAAATGAGAGCCTAGGGCCCTAGAGAGGGGATTCTGGGGCCCAGCGACCAGCCAGTTCTGCCCCCTACTGGCTGTGAGATCTGGAAAACTCTCTGTGCCTCTGGCCTCCACTAGGGTTAGGGTTAGGGTTAAGGTTAGACAGATGTCCCTAACTCCTGGAGCAGTTCACAGATGGAGTGAGCAGACTTAAAGCAGGTAAAACAGGTTCTCAGATACAGCCTTGTGTCCAGGTCTCCTGCAGGACTTGTTAAAACAGATTGCTGGGTCCCACTCCAGAGTTTCTGATCCGGTAAGTCTGGGACAGGGCAAGAATTCGCATTGTAAACAAACCCTGAGTAGTGCTGGTCCAGGGGAACAATTTTAACACAGCACCTGATATTGAATGAGTGCTCTATAAATGTTAGCTAAGGGATAAAATCAAATCTGTTTTCCCAGCCACAGGGTGTGCAGGGCTTTGTCCCATTCGGTGCTGTATCATCAGCTGGAACCGACACATAGTAGGTCCTCAACTAACACCTGTGTTATGAATGAAGCCCAGACCGCAGTCTCCCTCCCCGGACCCCACCCGGGCCGGCTCTGAAGCCCTCTGCGGGGGGACATACGGCAGAAGCTGGGAGCCCTCCAGGGCTTCATATCCGCACCAGCCGTCTGGCAGGCAGCCACGTAGGCTTGCAGGAAGGCACAGAGCACATTGCGGTTCCCGCGGGCGCGGCCCATGTCGGCCACGCAGGCCTGGAAGAAGGGCTCCGGCGGCAGGAGTGCGTGGCAGGGTGCCAGGGGGCCGCTGGGCTCGCGCAGGAGGCCGCAAGCGCCACGCCACGCTGGGTCTGGGCCCGCGTTTCCGGCGGCCGGTGGACAGCCCGAACCCGGGCAGGGATGTGGCGCGCCGCAGGGTCCGGGCCGCAGCTGTAGGTCATCAGACGCATTGCCGTTGAAGTTGCCGCAGAGGCCGCGCGTGAGGCCGCGGTAGGCCGCAGGCAGCTCCACGCTCAGGTGGCCACCGAGCCCGAAAAGCAGGCGCGGGCCCCCACGCACCGCGAGCACCACGGAGGCGCCCCGCGCGAAGGCGCGCACCCTGCCGTTGGTCAGCGCGAAGGGCAGGCAGCGCCGCACGCCGTCCACCTGCGGGCAGGGGTGGGACAGCCTAGGGTGAGGGGGTAGGACCGGGTCTGGGGAGAACGGGGAGAAGACTGTGAGCAGGGGTGGTGCGGGGAGTGTGTGCCAGAACAGGGGAAGAGTGGAAGGGACTGTTGGAGTGAGAAGAGGGACCCGGGGAGGAGAGGAGTCAAGGGGTAGGGACATTCAAGGCGGCGCTTGGGAGTGGGCATTGTGGGAAGGGGGAGGGGGGGAGTTGAGTGCGGGGTAGGGAGAGTGAGGAGGTGAACCTGGAGTGCAGAGAGAGAGGGAAACTCCTTACTCAGGGGCTGGAGAGGTACCTGAGAGCATCTACGGCCCTGGGGAGGAAGGCAGCAGAGGACGGTAGAGCTGGGAATGAGGAAGGAGGGGATGTGGGGACAGGAGGAGGAGAGAAGGGAGGGACCACTTCGGAGAGAAAAAGATGGGGAGACCTCAAGAGGAAGGGCAGTGGGGAGGCAGGGGCACCAAAGAGGGGGTTGGGCCAGCAGGGAGCAAGGGTCAGAGAAGGCTGGGTGGGCCTTCTGGGGAAGAGGTGATGGTAGTTTGGAGCAGGAGAGGGCGCGTGGAGCAGGAGAGGGCACCTTCTTTCCGGTGGAGGACGAAAAGAGGCCAAGATGAAGATTGGCCGCAGGGGAAATAGGCAGGGTGGGCGTGGGTGATCCTGAGCATCATGGGACGGGAATGTGCAGACACAACTGTTGAGAGAGGGATTGAAAGGGGAAGGGGCAGAAGGAGAGGGGGCAGTGGAGAAGGGAGGAGGAGAAGAGTGGAAATGAGGTTTTTGGAGAGAGGCGGGCATCAGTCAGCGACACTGGGAGATCCCACCTGTCAGAACAGAGACTGCCAGGCAGCTGAAAGGAGGCGGACCACGGGGCGGGGACTCACCGTGATATTTCCCCAGTCCTCCCAGTCTAGGTCGAAGCGGTGACCATGCACGCGGAGCAGCACGCGGCGGAGCTCGGGCATCCGTGGGTCTTTCTCCAGCACCACTTCGAAGGGCCACACACCGCGAAGGCGGCCCATGCCCGTGCCCACCATGGAATAGGTGCAGGCGTCTGGAAGGTGGAAGGTGGTGCCATCGAAGGTGCGGAAGCGGAGTCCGTCTGAGGCGAGGCAGACGCCTGGGCGGCCCCGGGCTGCGCGGCAAGGTTTGCAGACCACCTGGCCGCCGGCGTGGCAACGGCAGCAGCGGTTGGTCGCGGGGTGAGGGGGAGGCAGCGGCGCGCCGGGTTCCAAGTAGCGGCCGGCGCTCAGGCAGCCACACTGAGCCTGGGGCACGCAGACGGCGCCACTCAGCAGAAAGCCCGCGTCGCACAGGCAGCCCTCGCGGCAGAACCCAGGGCCGTGGCAGCCAGGCGGTGTCTTCAGCCCCGCGCAAGTGGCTGAGCAATCCGGAGCGCACAGCGTGTAGTGCGAGTGTGCGGGGCACAGCGGGCCTGCGAAGGCGGATTGGAGGACTGCTTCAAGGCATTGCCTATTGGGATTCTCACCCTCCACCTCTGGGGCTAGGATAGGGCATCTGGGGCCCTGGAGGGGTAAAGGTCTACTTGGGCAGAGCTGCAGGAACCTTCAAATAGCAAAAGACCAGGTAGTTAACCATGGATCAGAGTCAGAGCCAATCTGTAGGGCCTGGATGGATAAAGGTTGGGTGGCTGGACCATGAACAGGTCTGAGTCCCTGAGAGGTAAGGGGTAAAGGGCTGGTCCATAAGGAGGGCTAAGAAGAGGGAAGGATGAGAGCTGTGCTGGACTTTTGTTGGAGTAGCCCTGACACTTTAGGATGGGCCAAGGTTGAGGGTCTGGTGGGGAGTGGAGGGATGGGTGGAAGTCAGCGCAGTGGGAAGTCCAGGGTCTCAGGGTTACATTGTGCAGGGATGAGCTGACACCCTGGGATGGGCAACAGCCCAGAAGCTGGACCTCAGTCAGGAGTGGGACCAGGTTCCCCAGATGAGCAAAGATGGAGAGGCTGGACTGAAGCCCTAGGCACTCACTGCACAGACTTGAATTCCGCCAGGGGAAGACTTGGCCGCCCAGCAGCTGGCAAGTTTCACAGTAGAGGCTGAGCATGGGGCAGGGTCCAATACCCAGGCATACATCCACCATGCAATCTTGGACATAGGGGCCTGGTGCCAGCATCTCATGGCACAGCTGGAAGGGCCCCAGGGGGTCCAAAAGGATGTCACAGATGTGGGCAAAGTGGGCTGGGGTGCTGGTGGTTGGCAGGGTGACACAGGATGGTGGCGGCAGTGGCCTCTTGTCAGCAGCATTCAGGCACTCAGTCGGGGAACCCACCAAGTAGCTATGGCCAAAGGCCCAAGCCAGTGCATCCTCAGGCATGTTGGTGCCCAGCACAATTCCAGGCACCTGGAGGTCATCCGTGGGATCCCCATTGTAGTCAGCACACAGCCCCGCCACATGGCCCATATATGCTGCTGGAAGATCCACTACCACGCGGATCCCAGGGGCATAGGTCACGCGCAGGCCAAAGGGGCAGCTGATCACAGTGTCCCAGCCATGGCGAAAGATGAGGGTACTGTTGCTCAGAGCCTGGAATGGTAGATTCTGCCAGTCTCCATTCACCTGTGTGAAGAGGGTATGTCAAGCTGGGGCTCTAGGGACCCAGTATCAGTACAAAGGATGCCTATGTCCCTAGGTACGAGCAGGGCCTCCAGAAGGCCTTGTTGAGGGACTAGGGGTCTATTAGGACCGAAAACAAAAAAAGCAAAATCAAACTAAAAGCTTGGGATGCTGTCCATTGTACTGATACTTTTTCCAACAAATACTTGGATGATGAGAACTGTGGATTCTGGGGTTTGGGTCTGTGGATCAGACCAGATCAGATTCCTGGATCAGATTTGGGGAGTGGAAACCAACAGCATCTGAAAGTGACACATGTGCAGTGCCTGGCACTTAGTCTGTGTCCAATAAATATTTATTGAACTAATGCATGGATGAATGAGTAAGGCTCATTGGTCAAGTTAGGCTGTAGTGTCCTAGAGATGCTGGGATTTCTAGGTAATGGCAGGGGCTCCAGGGTGCTATGCAAATATACAAATGTTGAAGCTGCTGTTCCTGGTCTAACCATATTTGCCCACAGCTGCTGGGGCTGAGAGTGTAAGAATTGGGGGTGAGGGTTTGTAAGCTTTGGGAACTGGGGATTTGGAATTCCTGGATTGGGTCTGGGGATGCCCAGGACTTGGACTGAAATTGCGTCTGAAATACAGTTAAACACATGTAACCTAGAATGGTGGCTGGAACACTGTAGGTATTCAATAAGTGCTAATTGAATGAATAAATGGGATTCTTGGGTCAGGACTGGAGTTTCAAGAGCCCAGAATCAGGACTGGGCTCTGTGATCAGGGGATCACAATGAAGTCAAGGCTAGGAGTTTTTGTCCCAGACACTCAAAGCCAAGAGTATTTGTCTCAAACACTTAGGTTGAACTATATGAAACTGCCACATTTGTAGGAAAAAACATTGAGTATTGGCAGCTTCATATGGTCTGATTTTAATAACTACATGTGTTAGGACAGTGAAGTGAGGTAGTTAAGTGTCCTTTGATTTTGGGGTTAAGTTATCTGGGTTCAAATCTTTGCTCCTAGTTTGGTTAGCTGTCTCACTTTGGCAATTTTACTTCTCTGTAAAATGAAAGAAATAATAACATTCACTGGAAAAAATTGGAAGGATAAAGTAAGGATTTGTATCCCTCACTGGAAGGCAGTGTTTCTGGGGCTAACTGAATTTAAATAAAATAAAATAAAATAAAATAAAATAAAATAAAATAAAATAAATAAAATAAGACTTACAAAAGGAAAAATATACCATATTGGTGGGCTGGAAAACTCAACAGTCTCTCCAATTGGAGTTATAGATTCAATAAAATTACAATGAAAAAATTCCCCCCAAAAGAAAAAAAAAATGGCAATCAGTGATAAATTTAAAATAGAGCCAAGGCAAACTGCTGATGAAAAATAACTGACGGTGTCTGGGTCCTGTCCTCGGTTGGTCGGTGAATACTCATCCCTCATCCCCAAAGCCCCACAGCTGCTCTCCCAACGTCTCTACCCAGTGTCTTTCCCACCTTGATGGGTAAATTTGCCACACTGAAGTGGTGTCAGAGTCATTGGAGACTCTGAATTATGTTTCACAAAGGAAGAAGTTGAGGTCATGTGTTGTTTGTTTGTTTACTATTTGCAGAGACAGCATAACAGACCCTGGAGCCGAAATGCCAAGGTTTAAATACCAGCTCTGTTATCTATGAGCTGTGTGACCTTGGGCAAATGGCCTCACCTCTCTGGGCCACAATTTCCTCATCTGGAAAATGGCAAGGTCAACTGTATCTACCTTAAAAGGACTCTCGTGCATTCTTTGTTATTACATTGATGCCTAGTAAGTGCCTTCGCTGCAGTCTTTCCAACAACATTACAACATTTTTCCTTTGCCACCAGAAGTTATAGGGGACTGGGTAAGGGGCTTCTGGATTTAGGGTTTGGTCCTAAAGAGTTAAGGCTTGAGTTCTGATTTGGAGGTTAGTTTTGGGGGATTAAAGTTAAGCGGCTGGGTCAGAGACCATGGGGCAAGAGGAAGGAGGTGGCAGTTCTGCGTTGAGTGTCCAGTATCATAGGACAAAAATTCAAGGTATGACCCTAGCGTGAGGTTAGGGGGATCTAGGGATCAGGGTTGGGAGTCTTGAGGTGAGGACTCTAGGTCAGAGGTCATAAAGTGGGATTCCCTGGGTACATGTGTGGGCAGGGTTGGGATTTTCTCACCAGGACATGACCGGGTTCCTTGGGGTCCAGCTTCAGGTGGTAACCAGACAGAAGCACTTCAAGGCTACTTGGGACTCCATCAGGACCGGTGCCCAGGAGCACACGGAAGTCTGCCAGCTCCTGGGGTGCGGGAGAACTAAGGCCACTCAGCAGGTACACACAAGAGCCAGGGAAGCGAAAATGGCGCCCATCGAAGGTGATGTAGTGACCTCCGCCGGCTGCCACGCATGTGGCCATGCTCCAGGGCACACAGGTGCGCAGGCCGTGGGACAGAATGCAGCGCTCACCTGGCCTGCAACCACCCTGGCTGCAGATCACGCTCCCTCCTGAAGCTGGGCAGACACAGCGGCGCATGCAGCCCACACCCTCCCATAAAGTCTCGCCTGGTCCCAGCAGACGTCCCTGGTGTGTGCAGCCACAGCCACCAGGTCCCCGGCGCCGCAGGACGCAGGCAGGACCGCTGTGAACATAGCCGGCGTCACAGGCGCACGTTTCCCCGCAGGGCAGTGGGCACGACGCTCCCAATGGACCCATGCACGTCTTGGGGCAGGAGGAGCCACACGGCTCATAGTGGCTGTTTTGGGGGCACTCAATGGCTGGGGGCAGAGGAGAAGAAGGTGGAATGGAGAGAGTGTTCACATCAGGACCTCCCAGTCTGGTTCCAAAGAACTAATTATTCAGTTACCCCCGAAATGGAGCCATTCTAGCCCTCAGCTTCCAAGAGTCGTGACTAGGATCCTGGGATCCTCCTTCTTAGAATGGAGGCTTTCCAGCAATCTCCATCTCACAGAGTAAATAAGTTTCTATCATCAGAAAGCAGAAGTCCCCTTTCTAGAACATAAAAGTCTGGCCCTGGGACACAAAACTCTCACCCCAGAGTCTGGAGTCCTTGTCACCTAGAGGACTTTTCCATCCACCAAATGCAAGAAACTTGCCTTTTAGAATTAACTAATTCTGGACCCCAGGACCTGGAAGCCTTTGCCCTAGGACCCAGAAACCCCACACTCCAAGACCTAGGTGTTCCAGCTCCCAGAAACCAGAAATCCCGCCTCTAGGGTGGAGGAGTCTCCATGCCCTCACCCAACGAACCCAGCCTCTGGTGCTTCCGCAGTCCCACCCCAGGGACCCTGCAGGCTTGCCTCAGGAATCAACTCCAGCATCAAGGAGTGCCACCCCCTAAGTCCCAGAATCCCCTTCCCCAGTAACCCATATTTCCATCTAAGGCTCACTCACGGCAGCCAGTCTGGAATCTCCAGGAGTCGATGCTGACACCCAGGCGCTGACACGCGTGCGCGTAGACCTGGAGAGTTAAGCAAAGCGCAGGTCGGTAGTTGGGAAAGGGGCAGATCCAAGCCCTGCAGCTGATCTCGAAGGGCGCAGGCAGCAGCACGTCGTGGCAGGGGCTAAAGGGCCCGTTCAGATCGGCCAGAATGGCGCAGGGCCCTCGGGTCTCGGCTGGGGACGCTGGCTTGGCGCAGGGAGCAGCCCAGAGGGCGTGGCATGGGGCGTCCGGTGGCTGCAAGGCCCAAGTTCGCAAGAAAGCACGCAGGTCGGGACCGCCCACATCGTCTACCGGGTCCTGGTTGAAGTTGCCGCACAGGCCCACCACGTGCGCCCGGTAGCCCTTGGCCACTTGCAGAGAGAGCGCGTGCTGCCAGTCGTACACCAGGCGCAGCGCTGGTGGCTCTTGCTTCAGACCTGCCTCTGCCCATAGTTCTGAGCTGCGGAAATGCAACCGCAGCCTTCCTCCGTGCAGCGTCGCAGGCAGCCGGAGCCGCTGGTGGTCCACCTGCAGGGGTGACCCAAGAGCAGGAGTCAGGAGTTACTGGGACAGTGACAGAAAGCACGCATTCCTGAGCATTTGAGGGGAAGCGGGGGATGGAGGCTGAGGGGCTTGGATTTGGGAATGCGAAGAGAGTGGGGACTTTGGGGGAGGGAAGGTGGGAAGGAGTTATGAAAAGCACTTGGCACAGAGTCCACCTCACGCTTCATAGGAGGAGGGTTGCAATGCCTCTTGTCCCCTAACACTGGCATCAGGAACCTCCAAATCATGTGACCTTGGACGTCTCCTAGGACCATATGCAGCCACTGGCATGTCTGAAATTTCTCCTCGGAAAATTTAGAGCCATTATTCGGTTGGACGGTCACTCCATCCACTAACCAGGAATCTTTTTATTTTTTAAATTATTTTTAATTTTTTCTAACCAGGACTCTTGTTACCAATACCCAGATGTGACCTCATGCAAAATTCAGAAGTCTTCCTTCTAGGAATCTAGATAAGTGATTCTACTAAGAAGTCTCCAGTTCACAGGAGAGCCTTCAGCTAGGACCCCAATGTCTTTTCCCCAATTATCAAGAGCCTCTGCCAAGAACTTCTGGATCATTCGAAAACTCTCCTCCCAATCCATGATTTCTATTTTTTTCCATCCAATCACTGAGAAGGTTACCACCCCATTTTTACTCTTATTCACCACCTCCACCCTGGTCCAACCATCTCCTGCCTGGACAATGGTAGCAACCTCCTCACTGCGCGTCCTTCACAAGCCCCATGGTCTTTTCCCCTCATGGCAGCCACAGAGATCCTGCTAACACCCAAGTGATATTTCACCCTCCTCCGCACACAATCTTCCCTTGGCTTCCACCTTACACAGAATAGAAGACAAAGTTGTTAAGAGCCCATACAGTCTCTCCTTCTCCTCCTTCCCACAATCCCTCCTCTTCAGCCTGGCTTCTTGCAGTTCCTCTAATGTGCCTGTCAGATTCCCGCCTTAGGCACTTGCTGTTCCCTCTGCCTGGAGTGCCCATGGCTCTCTTCCTCACATCTTTTAAGACTTGGCTCAAGTTTCATCTTCTTAGAGAGGTCCTCCTACTTAAAACTACACTCTCAGACATCCTGATGCCACACTCCTGATCCACTTTTTCCTGGTGGCAGGTGGGTTCCCAAGAGTGTGTGGAGGGGAGTGTGGAGAACCATGGGCTCCTGCATCTGGTCCTAGCATCTTGTACTTCTGAGCTTCCCATACATGAGCCCATTGGAGCCCATTTCCACACATGAGCCCACAGTCTGATGAGTGAAATCTTTTTATCATCTTGATTTTCCTAGATGAAGAAACTAAGGCCCAGAGAGTTTAAATAATTTGCCTGAGGTCATACAGATAACAGATGGTCAACCAGGGATTTGAACTCAGACCATCAGTTTCCAGAGTGCATTGTCTTTCTACAGTGGTGCTGAGGAGTGGCTTAGTACATCCATAACCTCATAGGTTTACTCCCTCTAGCAACCCTGATTAAATATATCCTAGTCCCCACAACCTTGCAGAGAAATGCCTCCCAACCTGAGGAGAAATTTCACACCTTCCAGTGGCTGCCTGTGGTCCAAGGTTAAGTCCAAAGCTCCCAGAATGTAGAGGTTCCAGTTGTCAGTATTAGGGGACAATAAACCCAGCAAACACTCCTCATATGACACTTACCAGGAGGTGGACTCTGTTCCATGCTTTCTGTATTTTAACTCATTTCCACTTTACAGGAAACTGTTAACAGGTGCTAGAGATCCACAATCCTTTAGCCCCAAATGCAAAAGTGGCCTGAAGACTGAGATGTTTTGTGTATTTGATGTTAAAACGTATTTGGCAGCCAAAGTTGATCTGAATTCGTGGTATGGGTCCTTAATGCCTTCATTTATCCCACTTAGTGTGCATATTCAGACTTTGCACTGCAGAGATATTAATGTTTGTAATTATGTACTACTTGTTGGGATTATTAATAATATACGGCATTTGCGTGGTATGACCGCTTGAAATTCCACAATCAGAAATGCACTGGGCCCCAAGCATTTTGGATAAGGGACTATGGACTTATATATGATTGCCTCCACCGTAGAGCTGACAAAAATGAGGGACAGAGAAGGATACAGTTTCCCAGGATTCCATACATAATGGTTCTTACCTGCACAAAGCCGAACTCATGCTTGACAGCAGTGATGGTGACACCAAAGATTCGCATTGTGACAAAGTGCATGGGCTGCCTCTCTCCAGAGGTGGCGATCCACAGCTGGAAGGCAGGGAGGCCACTGGGTAGGGCCTGAGGACAATGGCTCAGCATGTAGGTACAGCCCCCAGGCACAGGAAAAGAGTAGCCGTCAAAAGTGTAGATGTATGGCAGTCCAGAAACCCAGCAGGTACCCCCTGTGATGTCCCCCGGCCCCTTACTGGAGATGTCCACTGTCTCCAACTTGGCCTCCGATGGCATTTTGGACTCAGACACAGTTTCAAGTTCTTGCCAGAAAGCCTCTGAGCCTGGTTTAGTCACTGCCACCACCTTGAGCCCCAGTTTGGCTGCTGGGATGGTTTCTGTCTTGGGTTTGGACTCTGGTTCAGCTGTGGGCACGGGCAGGGGGAAAGGTGCGGGTGCTAGTTCAGCCACAACCAGGGCTTCAGGAAATGGTTCTTTTAGACCCAGAGGTTCAAGTTCTGGTTTTACCAAAGCCAAAGATTGAGGCTGAAGTTCATTCATGGCCATGGAGACAAGCCCTGGCTCTGCTTCAGGTGTGCTCTCTGATCCTGGTTTGGGCACTGCTGTGGTTTTAGACCTGGAGATGGACACCATTTTGGAGTCCTTCAGAGATACTGGCTTGGGACTGAACATGATCTCGGTGGCCAGGGAGCCGGGCACACACTCAGGTTTGTGCCTCACGAGGTAACATGTGGTTCCACTGGAGCATACATGGTCCTTACAGGATCCTGGGAACTGGAGTGGCATCATCAGGGAAGATTCTAGAAGGGGATAGAATTCTGCGGGAGGGTTCGGATCTTCCGCAGTCAGAATATCTGGAGATGAGATGAGATGAAATGATGCAACAGAACCGGATCCTGGCATTTGGTCCCATCCCTTTCCTGTCTGCATGCCCTAGGCCTTTAGGGCCCTTGGAGACTCAACATCTATAAGCTAGCAGGGTTCCCAATGTAGAGTGAAGCGGGCCTATATCGTCAGAAAGAGAAGGGTGGGACCGGAGAACAATACAGAAATGGTCAGTACAGTGTGGGTATACAACAGGGCTGTGATGAGCTGGAGGGCACAGACTCCATCCAAGAACACCGATCAGTTACTACAAAATCTCTGTGCTGGTAAGTCTAAACACATCTGTGGGTCGACTTCCAGCTTGCCATGTTAAGCAGTCTTAAGAATGTGTGTGTGTGTGTGTATGTGTGTGTGTGTGTGTTCTGTTGGGATCTAGCCACCCCGTTTCCCAGGGAGGGGAGTTATTTTTTCATAGCTGTTGAGGCATGACGCTCGACACCTACAAAGTGAACTTTTAAAAAATAACTTTGTTCTGTAGGGGTTTGCATATTTTCCAGCAAAACATAATAAGGACTTCTGGTATGGATTAGAATATGAACCAAAGTATCAGCTCCTTGTGGTAGGAATGTTTCTGTGTTGTACACTGCTGCATCTCTGGTGACTAGAATAGGCCTAGCCTGAAGTAAATCTAAAAAAAAAAAAATTGTGGAAAATTAATAATAACCAATGTTTACTGCATGCCAGACACTCTCCTATTACTCATTTTTTTTAAATGCCCCAAGAACCTTATGAAGTTGTTGGTATTATTATTCACAGTTCACAGAGGAGAAAGTTGAGGTTTGGGGAGGTGATGTGACTTGCCTAAGGTCACACAGCTTGTAGCAGGATTTGAATCCAGGCCTTTTGCCTCCAGAATCCAGCTCTGAGCCAATTTTAATAAATGAATTGAAGTCCATGTTTTCATTTCTAAGAAACCCCAGCCTTTCTGACTCCTCCCTCACTTTTCTGTCACCTCCCTCGTCTCCCACTGTTTTTTTGGGGACTGGAAGCGATTAAGTGGGAGCACCCAAACTGTATTCCGGCCCATGGTCACTGTCCAGCTACTCTGTAGTCTGGGCAGAGCGCTGAAGTGACAAGCCTCTTTCTCAGCAGCCTGAGCGGGTTTTGGGTTTGCAGCTGCCACCTGCTCAGTGTGTAGCTTTGGATGGTGATTTCTTGCCTTCAGCCTTCAACTGCTTCCTCTATAAAATGGGGAAAACAGGGGCACCTGTGTGGTTCAGTCAGTTGAGCATCTGGCTCTTGGTTTCAGCTCAGGTCATGATCTCATGGGTCCTAGGATCTAGCCCCACATTGGGCCCACTTGGCAGGGAGTCTGCTTGAAGATTCTCTCCTCTGCCCTTCTCCCCACACTCTCTCTCTCAAATAAATAAATCTTTTTTTTAAAATGGGGGTAATAAAGAGGACTGCCTCCAGAGTGGCTGTGAGGAATATACTGTATAATGTACATACATTATATATAAGAGAATTTACCACTTAGCTTAAAAGTCTAGGCTCTAAGTCTGTGTGAAGCAGTACAAAATAAAGCAACACAGAAAGGTGGCTGAAACCTTGTGCTCTGGAAGCAAGTAGACCTGGGTTCAAATCCTGACTCTGCCACTTTCTAGCTGTATGAACTTGGCAAAAGATTTGACCTCCAGCCCTTCCCCTCGCCAGAAAAAAGGAATTATTACAATACTGTTATATAGTCAACCTCAAAGACTGGAGGGAAGGTCAAGCACCCATTATTTTATCCCTTCCCCTGACCCCACTGTTTACAATTTATACTGTAGTAAAGAAAAAGAACATGTGACCTTCAACAATAACTTCCTTTTTGAGCCCAGTGCCTGGCATATGATTTGGTGCACATTTAACAACTTATAACCATTATTATTCATTCCACAAATATTTACTAAGGGTTGAACACTGCCCTACCTAAAAATCGTACAATTAACTGTGTATCTTGGAACTTCCTTAAATTTTTTTTCTTTTTTAAAGCACTGACCTCAAAGAACTAATGGGAGACAAGAGAAAGAGAATAAGTAAGTATATAGAAAGTGAGACGAGGGGCGCCTGGGTGGCTCAGTGGGTTAAGCCGCTGCCTTCGGCTCGGGTCATGATCTCAGGGTCCTGGGATCGAGTCCCGCATCGGGCTCTCTGCTCAGCAGGAAGCCTGCTTCTCTCTCTCTCTCTCTCTGCCTGCCTCTCTGTCTACTTGTGATCTCTCTCTGTCAAATCAATAAATAAAAAAAAAATCTTAAAAAATAAAAAAAAATTAAAAAAAAAAAAAAAGAAAGTGAGACGAGCTGTGAAAAAAATCAGGGAAGGGCTGCAGTTTTGTAAGGGATAGGGAATTAGGATTTTAAATGGAGTGGTCAATTTGGCCTTGGTAAGAAGGTGGCATTTGAGCAGAGACTTGAAGGAGATGAGGGTGAGATCCATAAAGATATCATGGGGATGGTCAGTGTTGAAGGTTCTGAGAAGGGAGAAGAAAGTAAGGTGGCTGGTGTGGCTGGGCTGGAGTGAGGGAAGGCAAGAAGGAGAAGAGATGAGATCAGAGAGGTAATGGGAACATATTGTATGGGGCCTCATAAAACACTGTGCTTTTTGCTGGGTGTAATAATAATTGCATGGGAAGATTTTGAGCGGAAGATTTGCTTTAAAACAAAAAACAAGAAACAAGAAACCCTGCCTCTCGGGCTGCTATGTGAGCAACTGAAGACAGTGTTAACGATTTCCCCCGTCCCTGATCTCCTGGAATCCCAGTGTCTGCTCAACTTCCCACCGCCTTGGGCCCCAGTGCTGCTCACCCACGCTTGGCTGCCCCATGGCCTGGGTCCCGAAGCCCGCGCCAGGAGCGGTGCCGAAGCTAAGCACACCCACCGGCGGCCCGGGAGTTTCCAGGAAGTGCACCACTCCGGGCTCAGGCCCAAATGCCACCTCGGTCCAGACGAAACCCGGAGCGGGCGCTTGGCTTTCACCAGAGTGCTGCTCTGGGCCGCCGGGGATTAGGCGCCAGTGCAGGTTGGGCAGAGGCTGCTGATCAAGGAGCACCGGGGTGGGCTCGCGCGCCAGCAGCACCGCCACGTTGGAAAAGCCTGGCTGCGCGGTAAGCGCGAAGCTGCGGCTGAATGCGTCCACCGCAGGCAGGAGAGCGAAGAAGGGATCGTAGGCGACGCCCCCGCGGGCCGCAGCGGCCGCCAGGAAGAGCACCTGCAGGCCGGCGGAGGAGCGCAGCACCAGGGGGCGCACTGGGTCCACCGCGAAGTGCAGCACGGTTCCGAGGCGCAGAGCCCGCGCCCCTTTGGCGCCGCCCCCCCAGAAGCTCAGGCTGCCCAGGCTGTCCGCCACCACGTACACACGGTCTCTGGGTCCGGGAGCCGCGGGCGCGAACGGGGGTACTGCGTAGACGCGGCCCCAGTAATCCTGGGGCAGCAGTTGTTCGGACACATGGCCACAGGCCTTATCTCTCGCTTGCAGGCAACTGTGGCCAGCCAGCAGCGCGACGGGACGAGTGGCCACGACGCGGGTGCCCGAGAGGTCGCCTGCGCTCTGCACCTGCAGCGCCTGGAACGGGTCGAGGTGCACGAGGAGGGGCCGGCCGGCAGCATGCTCGACGCCATCCAGCAGGATGGGCACCGGAGGCGTGAGGCTCAGGCGCGTGGGCCAAGCGCCGGCCACCACCGCAAACTCCTTGTGCCGATCGCTGGGCTGCAGCGACGGCGTCACCACCACGTAGCGAGTACCCAGCAGGCGGCGCGGAAGCGCTAGCGCCGTGTCTAGGGATGTGCGCCCACGCGCGTTCACCACTGTCACGCCCACCGGTCGCGACGCCGCTAAGCGCACGGCGCCCCCCGCCGCCCGCCGCGAGCCCCGCAGCTCCACAGCGCTGGGCAGGCGCACCCACGCGGTAGTGCCTGGCAGCAGGTTCAGCGCGCGCCGAAAGGGCGGTCCCCCCACCGGGTGCGCCCTCACTTGCACCGCCGTCGGGGGCCCCTTCGGCGGTGGCGACACGTACAGGCGGAAGTCGGGCTTCTCAGCGCCCCCATTCTCCAAGAAAGCCGTGATGAAGTAACGGCCCTGGAATTCCACAAATGCAGCCGTTGGGCCTGAGGGAACCCGAGGGGAAAGGAGGGAGTCAGCATAATCTGTTAGATTTTGAGGTCAAATGCATCAGGTTCTAATCCTGACTGCTATGTCCTAGCCGTGTCAATGTGGACAAGGTACCACCTTTGGGCCTCAGTTTCCTCATCTGTAAAATGGGGGTGTTGCCTGAGCTATGGGAATATTAGATGAGATAATATATGTAAAGGCCAGGGAACAATGGTAAATATTAACTTAAAATAAAGTTGCATCATTTGAACCATCTGTTCCAGAAAGTCCTACTCAGCCCCCTTCCCACCACTGGTTTGTCCAATTTCCTGCCACAGAGTCTACACAAACAGTCCCTGCTTCCAGCTGGGCAGGGCCCTGTCCCAAGAAGCTCCACGGTGGCCAGTCCCCTGTTACAGAACCATGCCAGGCAGCCCCAAACCCCAATCTGCCCAACCAGTCCCCTGCTGCAGACCCAGATCAGCTCACCAAGTCTTCTGCATCCCCGGTGAATCACTCACCCCACAGGCAGCCCAGGGCACCAAGGAACAGCAGGGCAGGGGAGACGGCAGCCATGGCCCAGGGAGAGGCTGGACAGATATCGGCTAGTGCCGTCTCTCCTGCCAGTCTGCCTCCCGCCCCTGTACCACAGGAGCAGGAACAGATGGGGGGGCACAAGGGGAAGGCCAGAGAAGGGCTCAGGCCTTGGAGCCCAGGGAAAAAGGCAAGGCTGGAGGTCTCACCTGCAGGAGCTGGGCTGAGGCCACAGGGCGGGGGGTATTTATAATCCCAGGGTCTGCACACCGGATGTCCCCATTAGCACCCGTTCCAGTCTGACCTGGTGCCATTGATCGGAATGAGGTCTAATTATGTGGGAGGGGCCAGGGAGACAGACAGATGGAGAGACAGAGGGGGAGGGACACAGAGAGAAGAAGGGAGGGGCAGATGGGGGAGGTGAATTAGGAGATCAAAGGGGGGCATGGCAAGAATATCATGGTTTCCAAGAAAATTGGGACAGGACTCCTGAGCCTGCCAAGGATAGAGAGGCTTCAGGCTTGAACTTTTGGGGTTCCGGGAAGGAAGGGGCCAGGAGCTTGGGCTCCTGGATTCTGAGGAAGGAGGGGGAGTAGACGCTGGACTTCTGTGTCTGAGGGAGGAGAGGACTGGGGATCTGAACTCCTGGGTCGTGTAAGCGGACTTGCTCATGTGGGGGGTTGCGGATATGGGGTGGAACTGCCCAAGAGAAGACAATGGCTTCCATGTGACTCCCCTCCTTTCGGAACATCCTGAGCTTGAGAACAATGGAGTTGCGCTCTACAAGAAGGATCTAGGACAGGGAGAGTCTGGCACTCCAGACAAGGAAAGGTGAGGGAACTTGGATGCTGTTTGCAGCCCCTTCCCTTGCAGGTCGTAGGAGCCTGCACCCCTAGTTCCTTTCTCCCCCCACCAGAACCCTTGCCTTTGTTAGGGGGGAGGGTAGAAGGAGAATTCAAGAAGGAATTCTTCGAATGGCTTCATTTCTCACCTGCTTAAGAGCCTTCCCCTGCTCTTCAGCACAAGCAGGGGAGGTGAAGGAAGGTTCCCCCGAGGGCACAGGGAACAACGTGGGTGTGTAAAAGGGTGGGCTTTTCAGGGAGTGCTTATTTTCTTCCAGCCTGAGGTGGGGAACATAGGTGCTAGAGATGGAGCTGCAGGCAAGTGGGGGAGGGGGCAAAGCCTGTCCCGCCAGGTGCCGGGCTGAGTCACTGGAACTTTGTCCTAGGAACCTAGGAGAGTCATGGAGGATTCTATGCAGAGGAGGGTCGGGTTTGGCTTTACGAAGATTCCCTGATCTAGAGTGGGAGACTGAAGCCAGGACCCCAGGGGGAGGAGATGCAGGGACACAGGTGGGTGAGGCAGGAGCTGGAACCAGAGAACGGAGGATGGACAGGTGGGAGGGCTGCCAGGAGGCTGAGTGGAGGGCCGCCCTGAGAGGATCCAGGGAAGAGGGGCAGGTTTGGGAAGAAGCTAAGGGCCTGAGTGCCACCTGTGGATGTGCGAGGCCTGGGGGCAGTCCAGGAAGCCAGAGAAGGAAAGCAGAAGCATGGGGGGATGCGAGAGGTGCTGCCCCAGAAGGAGGTGAGTGGAGAAGCAGGAAGGGGGTCCGTTCCCAGCCCCGGGGGAGGAGGGCCCCCCACAGCGTTTAGGGCTGTGGATGAAGAGGAAGTTCCTCAGATCTGCTGTTTTATCCAGAGGACTGGGGAGAGGGAAGAGCACTCCAGAGGTTCCACAGAGTTAAAGCCAGAATATACCCAGAATAAAGTCCTTTGAAGTCTTACATTTTATATTCTAAATTCTTGCCAATTTTGCATTCACTTTCATCAGTCTATCCATGTGAGTTCTCAAATAAAGATTTTCAGGTACCTATCAGTGACACCCATTAACCTACCCTTGAGCACATCCCCCGACCATGAAGATCTTCAAGTGCATATGAAGCTCTGGATTCAGCCTGTGGCTTTGGGTATCCCCGGCCAGTCTCCTGGTGCCTTGGGGGGTCTGTCACCCATGTATTCAAGGATCTTCATAAGCCTGCATTCCGGTGACCAGACACTCTGACGCTTTCCAGGGGCAGCGCAGCCTCCCACCAGACCTTGTTCTTTGTAATGTGGCCCTAGCCCCCCTCCCCACCACAGACAGATGGATCTTTCCGAAGTCCAGACCTGACCCCGTTCCTCTGCAGTGGCTCCTTAGGGCCCCTGGAATGGAGCCACTGCTTGGCAGCCTGGCAGCTGACACCTCCCAGCTTCTGGAACTCGCCCCTTACGCTCCCCTAGCTTCCACTCTGTGCTCTAGCTACACAGAACTTCGGCTAGCTCTTCAAGAGTACAATCCTCTCTCCTGATGTTTTGCACACATTTTTCTCTCTCCTTAGAAGACCCTCTCCTCTCCTGACTCTTTTTGTAATATCCCTCAAGGATGCAGGTTCCTGTGCAAAGTGCCAATGTGGAGTCCTTTGTCCAAAAATTATTAAGAATGTCATGAGGGTGACAGCAGGGCATTCAACCCAGCACAGGGCCCTTCTAAATGTGAGGTGCTGTGGTGGGACTCTACAGGTCACAGTGCTGAAGCTGGCCCCGTCTTCAGGTCACCTCCCAAGCCAGGCGCAGTAAGGAGCCCATTCTGGGCTTCCTTGCACTTAGACAGGCCCTAATCAGTCTTCCCTGTGCTTCCGCCACCCCAGCCCTTTCCACTTTGGGGTGCCATTGTTCGGTGAGCACCTATTTCCTCCAAGGCCTGGAGCTCTGTGAAGGCGGGGTCTGGGGCTGGCTTGGTCCCCACTGTGTTCCCAGCATTGCTCTCTATACAGGTCAGGGCAGCACCAAGCACTGACACCCATCCTTTTGTTTTGTGAAGCACAAAGGGGCACCAGGAAGACATCAGGGAGGAATCAAAGGCAGAGGCCACGCTCAGGTTCAACCCAGAATAGAAATATCCCTTTTCAGAGGACCCCTTTATCAGACTTCCCCACATACGTGCCCAGGGAACCAGCTGTGAAAGCTCGGCTTTAGCCGAGGCCTGGCAGGGAAGGGATCCCAGACTCGGGGACACTCGGGACCTGTGTTAGCTTCGCCGGATGCAGACACATAGGTTCAATGTGGCACATGCAGGTAGGGGAGCGTCCTTGTATGGGAACTACAGTTACTTTGAGAAAACCCTCCAGGAGCCTGGAACTTTGGTTCCGGGAAACCTGGTCTCAGAAGTGCGCAAGGCATTCTCAAAGCCACAGTGGGGTTGGACCATAGGAGGAGGAGTAGCCCTCGCTGAGCTCAGGAAATTGGTGGACTCTGCTGGGCAGAGTTGGAAAGCTACGTTTCAACTTTAAATTCTAGATACATGGGATCATTTGTCCATAGGAGTATTGTTCCTACATGGGGGTGGGGGATGACCCAGGCACCCAGATTGAGGCAAGGGGGACCATGCTAGAGGAACTAGCATGCCCCCATCTCTCTCCTCCCATTCTCTTTGCTTCCAAATGCATAATTAGCTACCACTGGGTGTGTGTCCC